CTGATACCATCTATATCTAGCCTCGTGCTCAAAAATGAGAGGAAGGCGTATTTGCACAGTGAAATTAGGCGTAAGCCTACGGTAGACGTCCACCGTACGCAAATGCACGCGCTGCTTGTGGTATTTTCAATTTTATAAAACTTTAGTGTTGCTACACGGGTCAATGGGAAAGCTACGTCTACCATGCATTATTGGAGTGGCGGGTGGGCCTGCTTCAGGAAAGGTATGCTATCAATTTGATTTCGAATTTGGTTTTTGCTTAGGTTTTTTTTTTGAAAAACCGGCACTTTGCATTTTTAAATCTTTTCTAAAAAAGTTAGGTCTTGTGATGAATAGTTAGTCAGCTTCTGGTCTATTCTTCCGAATGGAACGTTGACTACTTTGGAAACTTAAGGTTTCTTGTTACCGAGTATTTCCTCCTTTAGGGTGCAGTCATACTTTGCGACTGCAGTTCGACCGTGGAGAAGATACGTATCGATTGCGAATTATTGCAATCGTGCGATCACATGATCGATACGTATCTACTCCACACTCGAACAGCGTGGTGGCCGCGGAATATCAACACAAACTTAATGTTTTGCAATCACATTCAGTTCAAAAAGAATTCAAGTGCAGATGTTCTAATCTTCGGTCCGAATTCAACTAGAATGTGCCTTCCGTATTACATAGAAATTAATTGCAAAATTCAAAAGTGGGAGTGATTACACCAAAGATTTGGAATGAAGAAAGATGGTGGTTTTAGAGATTTCTGGCTCATGCAGATATACACCTATCCAATGCAGATGCCTCTAGCAATTCTCTTATACTAAAAGAAAGAGAATAAGAATTATAAAGAAAGCCTTAACCACATACTAAGACAAGGCGGCAAGCCTCATATGGGCTGTCCAGAGATGGGTGACTCATGGACGATGCAAGCCCATATACCTCTGTACCGCAACGCGACGCAATCCTAGCGAGATCGCGCGATTCGCCAAAGTCTGACCTGCGGCCTAATGACGTGACATTGCAAGGCTCCCACAGCGAATAAAATTTCGCGCTGCGAGAAGGGAAACCGCCGTGTTTTCTGGGCAAAACACTAACACCTGTGCTAATAATGAGAACATATAATAAATCTGGCACATTCATATTTTGATTTTTGAAAAACATAAAAGCCCTCGCAGTATATGAGTGGCAATACACTCGCCAAAAATCGCAGCGTCCCATGCAGCGGTAAAGCACTTCACAATCGTCGGATGTGCGATTTTTATAGCTTTTTCTCAGCATCTTTTAGGACTACTTGGACCTATATTTATTTCAGTCGTTGGTCACGGAGAAGATTATGGAGCGACTCGAATCGTTGAACCAGGGCAAAAATAAACAGGTCAGTAGTAAATTGTCTAACTGAATTTACGTTGTGATTTTTTCATTGCTTTTGTTAGCATAGTGCGACAAGATCCTTTCTGTTTCCACATAACCTCTCACCATAATTGAATAAACCGACTTTTTTCAATGAACAAGATCAGTAATGGATGGAAAGATATTCATACCGAATCTAAGAAAATGTTCAGGGTCTATCCAGTAGGGCATCATGAATCAGTTTTTTCCAAAAGAATCTAGTAAACTCCGAGTCAGGAAAGTGTAGCCAGTCTAGGGGAGTGAAGGGTTGAAGACAGTCACTTACGTCGCGTGAAAAGCAGAATGTTCAAGATTCACCAACCCTATTTCACACGAGATGCTGCCAATCGTCCTCCTCTAACTTAGAACCAAGATCATTCAAAACATAAGCACGTTGATGCCACCTATTCTTGTTTTTCATTTCATCCTATTTTCCTGTTTCAGGACCTTCTGTTTAGCCCTTCTGGTATCGTACTGAGGGGCCATCTTAGTTTAGTAGGCATCATAATGCAGTTTCTCGGCGAGCTAGTGTGAACTCGAACATTCCAGCTTTTCACGCATGTCAAGTGACTGCCCTCACCCCCCCCCCCCCGTAGACTGGCTACACTCCCCTGGCTCGGAGTTACCGTAGCTTTCTGGAAAAACTGCATCACGATGCCCACCTCCTAACTGAAAAAAACCTTAGTTACTAGACCCTTATTAAGTCTAAAATTATAACAGATTCATCGTTTTTATCCTTTTACAAAGTTGAACGGTGAGTTTCAGGTTATCACTATTCCAATGGAGTCATTTTATAAGGAGCTGGATGAAGAGGAGCGGTTAAAAGCTGAACTTGGGGAGTACGACTTTGATCATCCATGTTGGTTTCTTTTTTCGACTTGGTGTTGATTACTCATTGATCCGGTATGATCACACGCTGTGTGAGTATGCACTTTCTAGTGATTTTATTTTGTTTTTCTCATTCAAAGCTTTTGTAGTTGCTTCTTGTGCTATTGTAGGGAAAACATCCGTAATATTATGTCGATATTGCGCGCATTGCTTGTGCAATGATTTGAAGAGACCACCACATCTTAATGCTTTCGGTATACTAGTTGGTTTACTGCTACGTCTGATCGCCGTTGACATCACCTGAACGGTGGCTTGAACCGAATGCTGAACTTTGAAAACTTGAGAAACTGGTGTTGATTTGATGTTGATATTAAAAAGGAACGCTTTGAAGTCCCTAGACTCACCGTCTTTCCGAATGTGTTCGGATTGAATATTGCTTTTCAGCTGCATTCGATTTCGACAAACTGACGGATACGATATCTCAGCTGGAGCAAGGAAAAGCCGTGACAATACCGAAATACGACTTCTTAACAAGTACAAGGTCAGTTTGAAAAGGTTTTGCAGAAGAGCGTAGCCTAAACATCACGTACTCTCATCGAATACATGAGGCTAAATCAGTTTAACAAGGTCGCCTGTTGATCTTTAAGGAAAGGAACACTTCACATAGAACCAGCAGATGTCATTATTGTGGAGGGCATTCTCATTTTCTATGATGCACGTCTTCGAAATAAGTTCGCTATGAAGCTGTTTGTTGACGCTGATGCCGATATTCGCTTAGCACGTCGTGGTCAGTCTTTTAAACGTTGTGTGATCTTGAGTACGTCATGTGTATGCAAGATTTATGATTTTTTTGTCTATTTTCTGAGCGGTAACAGCAAAAGTTAAGATTTCTTCAGTAAGTTCTCGGAACTCCACATTGCAGTAGTTCTACTTTAAACGTTGACGACCGTGTGGTATGATGTCATACCACACTTTCACATGGGGCAGACTAGTTTTCCTTAATTTATTTGGCGTTTTCTCCTGTTCCACAACGGTCCATGTACATTATTGGATCCGAAAAACTATTTCTTCATTACTGATAATGAAAACGCTGAAGGATTAATGCCTATTGATGAGAGAATACGAAAAATGTTGAAGCAGTACGCGCACAACGGCGGTCGTCAACGTGTTAATAGCTTGATTGGCACGGTCCTTTCCATTATACCTGGAGTTTTTCAGTTCGTCGTGATACAGTGGAACGCAAGCGACCACTTTCAATCGTCCTCAACCAGTATACGAAAAAAGTCAGCTTGTTTCATTTTTATCATAATTTCTTGAATAATGTACGGGAAAACCGCTCTGAAAGTTACAGTGTCTTGCCGGTGATGGGAAAATGCGATTTTTGCCGTTTTTTTTATCTGTTTCTTTCTCATAGCGCAGGAGATTGCATTCCTTCTTCTGTTCCTCGAAAAGTGAATGTGAATGCTAGGAACGTTCACACCAACGGTAATGCCAGAAGGGTGGCTGTGTAACGTAGAATGTACTAAAGCACTGTGTGAA